AGTTGGAAGGGGTAGGTATTGTGGACAAAAATGGCACACTATTGTCTGGCTGGTCCAGGAGTGTTGATCTCTCTTCATTTGACAGTCGAGATGAAGAAACATGAATGGAAATTAGTAGAGATCAGGGTTCTTTATATGAGCAAGATGGATGTTATATTGATGAGCTGCTCAAGTCTGTGCAGATTGTCACGGTGTAATGGAAGTTCTTGTCAAGAGGGTCATCATGGCTGAATCAGAAACTGCTACTGAGAAAGAGAAAGTAACTTCAGGTCATGAGCTTGTTCGCATCCAGTGGGATTTTGAGTCTCTGAAATCTTAGCAGTCTCGTTAGTGTCAGAAACTCTTCTTTCATCTGAGAAGCAATTTCAAACTATTGAGAGCCTTTTTGAACAGTTAGTATGTTTTGATATATGCTTTGAATGTGGGTTTTTTTTCCCTTGACTGTACTTCCCTGTTTTTCGTTATGCGATATTCCTTTCAGATAATCTGAAACTATTTGTCACTATCATATATAATGCTCTCTCTCCAATTCAATGCCGGGCCTTCAGTACTTTTTTGTAAAGTCTGGTCAAAATGTTCTAGTAAATTGACATGGCTTAGGGTCTAGTTTGACCCAATTTCTCATCCTTCCTACTTGTCGTCTTGTCCTTATTCGATTCCGCCAACCACCTGATCTTGTTGGCTAGTATGAAGTTTTAGGCCTGGAGTCAATTTATATGCTCATAAACGAGGAAGCAAGCTAATTGATGCACGCAATACTGCGATCACTATCTTTCTCTCTTGTTGTTGCTAAATTTTGATCTCTTTCTCTATAAAATCCTACTCTTCTTTAGGAAATATTATGTACCAGCCATCTAATGCTTTTGGTTTGAATCAGGCTAGTTGCCAGGAGAAAACAGCTAGGGGTGGGAAAATGCAGAAAGAGACTGAAGTACAGAAACATAATGGAAGAGAATGTGAGATGGACTACCCTTCTTAGGCCTGGGTAGGGTTCGGTTTTGGTTTAACTGAAATCAAATTTTGAACTATCGTTTTTTTCTTTTTCCTTTTTTTAATCATTTTTTAGTAACCAAAATCAAATTAAATTCTTTATGGATTTTTCCGTTTGGTAACCAAAGTAATCCATTTTAATATTTCAATTATCGGTTATAATTGACTATTTCAAGTTTAATAATGAATATAACTAAATCTAAATATAAAATTTTTAAGGAATAGAAATATAATAAAATGCAAAAAAAATAAAAATAAATGAGAGTAAAATATAAATTTTAAGTTTTTTTTTTGATAAAATGTAAAATTTATTAATCATATAATACTATAATGTACAATCTAGCAGCTATATACGACTACTACATAGGAACATTCAGAAACTAGTCTACAAACAAATAATTAGTTTATCAACAAGAAGAAAAAAACTCTACCTTATAAAATTTTTTCAACCCCCAATGTAAAACTATCTGTTGAGAGAGGGGAGAAGAGTGTAGCTTAGCAAAGCCTACGACTCTTTCTCAAACATCTCTTTGAACATTAGTGATAGTCACACATTCTGATTAGAAAAGCTGCTGGTAAATCCTAGAATTCCTCACAATCCACAAGTGATATACTGCAACATTCCATGCAAGTTTAATCAAGGTTATATGCGATAACCTCTTTGTAATTTTCTTTTCCATCAAACTAACAAACTAGAGCATGAATCAAAGAAGGGAATACCAGCCATTTTGGATAGATTTTGCCAAACCTGTACTGAGAATTTGCACTTAAAAATAAGTGCTCAGATGTTTCAGAAGCCACCCCACATAAAGAACAAGTGTCAATTATACTTGCTGTTTAGTACTTTTGTCTTGCTTTGGTGGTTAACCTATCCAACATAGCCAACCAACAAATGAAGTTATATTTAGGAATAGAATCAAAGAAGAAAGAACCAAACTAGCTTTGACCATGGAACTTTGATGTGCTTCTCTCTCAGCCAACTCCAAATCTTCCCCGTTTGAAAATTACTAGAAGCTGAGGGTGACCAAATAGCAGTATCCCTTACTCCTCCATAAGGATATAGGATGTCAAACAAAGTAGCTTGTATCTGAACTAATTTCAGTGAGCGAGCAGGTGGCTAGTTCCAATAGTTACCATAAACAACTACAATAAGTTTTGCTTAAAAAGGTGTTGCAGCATTATGCACTATTCTAGCCCCACAAACCTCAATTAATGGCATGGAAAGATGCCAGTTATCATGCCAGATAAAAATATCCTTGCCATCACGTAGAATATGTTTTTCAAGTTGTCTAGCCTTCTACCTTAGCTTAAGGATTTTCTTCCACCCCAAGAGGCATCCATTGGAATTTTGACAGTCCATAAACCAACCTCTCAATACTTTTATTTTGATGATCCGAAAATAAAATTTTGAGTTTTATGTTTTTTACTTTTAAATATATTTTAAATTTAAATGCTAAATTATAATAAAATTTATAAGGTAAAACTTAAAAATAAAATTAAATAAGATGGTTTTTATATTTATTTATAATATTTAAATAGTTATTATTTAATTTTTAATATAAAATTTTATTTTTTTGATTACATATTTGGTTTTGAATTTTCAACTCTTTAATTATTAATCGACTAAAATTTTTAGGTTATCTAACTAAAATTTTTTTAAAAACTAATAATAATAACTATGTATATCTAACTATTTGGTTAATTTTTTAGTGGTTTTCGGTTACCTCTTTAGTTAACTTACTTTGCCCAGTCCTAGCCTTTCCTAACAAGAAAGAGGCTTAGCTTTCGGCCATGAATGAGCAATGCAAATTAATGGCCCTGAGTGCCTCAAATTTATAATTTGATTGGATTATCTTGGTCTACTTCTGTCGCGCAATGGTGCAAGATTGTTCAGTTCCAGCAGGCCTGCCGACCAGCCAGAGGAGAATAGAGGCAATGGGAGATGATGGATTGGAAGTTCTTCGATGGATCATTTCTTGAAAATATTGTAACATACTTAAGAGCTTTATTTGTTGTTGCAGTTGGGCTTCCAAGAACCGAACCTACAAGTGTTGATTCGTATTGTTTTTTTTTTTTTTGAACAGCAAACATATTATTTATTAATAAGCGGAATACAAGGAGTACTCCAAATCCATTAACATCAAAAGTTAACCCAAGGTGTCGACACCCAACAGAAGTGTCGGCACTATACCCGTGACGGGAATTCTGCCTTCTTTTGTATTCTCAATAAATCCCCCTGATCAGATCAACAAACCATCGCCCATCACACCCACTGACCCAGAAGACCTTGATCATGCATTGACTATAGCTAAAATCCACTACAGTCAATGCTTGCTCAAAAAGCCTTAATGAGCCCCCATAATACAGCCATTCAACCCTTCGAAGCCAAAGCCATAGACAAACCATCTAGATATCAACAATACCATCCCCTCCCACAGATTATTCATTTGGTACCCTTCTTTTCCTATGGCAATCTTTCAAGCATGCAGCTGGATTAATAAATCAGTCCGTTAAAGTGAAGGCATACCTCTCTTTTTTTGCTGTGATCCAATGGAACGACTTTAATTGGATGAGTTCTAGCAGCTTCTCCCGGTTAATCTCTTTGCCTTGGAATGTTTTTTGATTTCGGGCCATCCACACTGTCCACACTAGAGAGTTCCAAATGCAATCCCATCCATCCCTAATACATTTTTCTTTTGGTTCTCTTCCAGCAACTTGATAGGTATTCCAGCAGTCCTCTTCCAATGTAACTTTAATACCCCACCATTTTGCGCAAGCCATCCATAACCACCGGACCATGTTACATTTCAGAAACAGATGCTTTGTGTCCTCTTCTTCCTCACCACATATTCCGCACTTGCAATCTTGACTGTCTTTGATGATCCCTATTGACAGCAGGTTCATTTTAGTTGGAATCCTGTCTAATAGTAATTGCTAGTTGAATGCCAAAATTTTGCTTGGCAAAATGGAGTTCCAAATTCTTGTGAAGGTTGTGGTTTTCGATGCTTCCCTCTCTTCTTTTGTTAAAATTGCATATGCAGATTTTGTTGAATATTGGCCATCCTTGCTGTGGGTCCACTCCCAGCTATCCATGCATCCTTGTGACGTCTGCACGCTTTGAATCGTGTTGTGTAATTCCATTGCTTCTTCCTTTTCCCAATCGAATAAATTCCTTCTCCAATTTAACTTCCACTCCCACAACCCGTTTGTTCTACTTCCCATTTCACTGCACATCTTCGTCTTCTCTGTAGATAAAAGATACAGTCTTGGAAACCTATTAGCAAGACACTCCTCTCCCCTCCATTTATCCCACCAGAAGCTAACAGTGTTACTCTCCCCAACTTTAACCCTAAAGCCCTCTTTTAGCCATCCATTGCTACCCCCATCCATTGTGTTGATACCACACACATCCCTCCACCAAGTTGAACCTACTCCTCTATTTTCATCTATCCAATCCTGCCAATGACCCCCTCCCTTTCCATACTTCTCCACAATAATTTTTTTCCATATGCCCTCCCCATTTTCTGCTAGCCTTCCCCACCATTTACCCATCAATGCCAAATTGAATTTCCTCAAGTCCTTCACTCCTAACCCACCTTTCGCTTTCCTTTTACACCCATTATCCCAGCTAATCCAATTTATTTTTCTCTCATCTCCCTTCCCCCCCCCATAAAAAGCTTCTACGTAATTTATCAATTGAATGAATTATACCTTTCGGGATAACATAGATAGACATCAAGAACACTGGCAGACTTGATAGCACTGAATTGATGAGTGTGATGCGGCCTCCCATAAATAGATACCGACCCCTCCAGCTGGCTAGCTTCCTTTTAACGAACTCCACCATCGGCTACCACATAGCTCTTCTTCTATGATTCCTTCCAATCGGTATTCCCAGATACCTAAATGGCAATTTCCCTTCCTTGCAGCACAATTGATATGCCATTTTAGCACACCAATTTTGATAAACTCCCACACCAATCAACTGGCTCTTTCTGAAATTAATCTTCAACCCTAAGGTTAACTTGAACGTCCGCATAATACATTTGATCACCCAGATATTGTCTTCCGTTTCGTCTTCGAAGAAAATTGTGTCATCCGCGAATTGAAGGTGCGTGACCATCACATCTCCGCTCCCAATTACCACTCCTTTGTACTTCTCTTTCTCCACTGCTGATGCCACTAGTCCATTCAATCCTTCTGCCACTATCAAGAACAAAAACGGGGATAATGGATCTCCTTGACGGATGCCTTTATTAACCGAGAATTGGTTTGTTGGGCTGCCATTGATTAGAATAGGCACCGAGCTCGATTTCAAGCACTCCTGAATCCAATTCCTCCAAGTTGCACAGAATCCCATCCTCATCATCATGTATTCAATGAATTCCTAGCATACCTTGTCGTAGGCTTTCTCGAAATTGACTTTAAATAAAAATCCCTTTTTCTTTTTCCTCTTAACTTCATCAATAATCTCATTTGCAATCACTGCTCCCTCCACTAAGTGCCTTCCTTCAATAAACGCCATCTGCTACTCCCCAATCACCTTAGGTAACACCTTCCGTAATCGATTTGCTAGAAGCTTTGCAATGATTTTGTATATGACTCCTATTAGGGAGATGGGTCTAAATTCCTCAATTGCTTGTGCATTTTCTGTCTTAGGAATTAGCACAATAAAGGAGGCATTTGACCCTTTGACCAGGTTGCCATGTTGTTGGAACTCCCAAACAAAGTTGAATATATCAGTTTTTATAACATCCCACATTGTCATGATGAATTTGAAGTTGAATCCATCTGGTCTTGGGGATTTGGATGGATCACAGTTCCATATTGCTTCTTTAATCTCCTGTTTTGAGAAAGTAGTCGTGAGGAACTCATTATCAGTCTTTGTGATCTGCCTAAAGTGTATTCCATCTAGCTTTGGTCTCCTCCATTTTTCTTCTGTAAACAATTCTTGGAAGTACTTAGCAATCTCTCGCTTTATTACTTCCACTCCTATATGTTGTTCCCCATTTATTCGGATACTATTGATTTCGTTCCTGCTCCATCTTCCCTTGATGCTTCTATGGAAGAATTTTGTATTCACGTCACCTTCCTTCAGCCATAGCTTTCTTGCTTTTTGTTGACTCATCCTCTCCTTGATTTTTAAGTACTTCCACAATTCAATAAAACTGTTCCTCCTCAATTCAATATCGTTTTCTGTCAACTGGTGCTGCTCTCCTTTCTCATCAACTAAAGCGATCACTCGCTCTGCTTTCTTTATTCTTCCATCCATCTCCCTGTTGGTTTTGCCACTCCTCTCCTTTAGTGCCTTCTTTGTTCTTTTCAGTTTTTCTTTTATTTTAAATCCATTCCACCCCTCCACTTCGTTGTCACACCATGCACTTGTAATCACCTCCTTGCATCTTGGTTGTTCCAACCAAGCATCAAAAAATCTGAACGGTTTTGGACCCCAGTCGACCTGCTCATTTTTTATCACTATAAGGCAATGATCTGATATAGACCTCTTCAATCCCCACTGTTTCATTTCACTCCACTTTGACATCCATTCTT